GGGGCCGGGAGGGGGGGGGGCCTCGAGAAGGGGGCGGGCTGGAGGCGGGCCGCGAGAGGGAACGGGATGGGAGGCGGGCCCCGACAGGGGACGAGCCGGGAGGGGGGCCTCGAGAAGGGGGCGGGGCCGGAGGGGTGGATGGGGTCTCTTAAGATAAGTGAACCCGACTCTGCTGAGCTGGGGCGCCAGCGCTCTGCACCCCAAGTCCCGCGCCGCCCCGCCTGCTTTGGGAGCCCTGGCAGAGGCATCCGGCATATCCGAGAGGAGGCAAGTCGGGTAGCCTCGCGGAAGAGGTGACACATCTGATTAGAAACGTGAAAGGAGGTGGGAAGAGGCGCGGGAAAGGCATGCCAGCCCAGGGAACCTGTGCGCGAGGAAGTACGGCCCGGGCTGCGGAGCAGATGCGGGAAAGTCGGCAGGGCCCCCAGGTTGACCCACGCGCCTCCCTGCACACGGTGTGCACAGACGGACAACGCAAGCGGGCACAAGCCCGCGCAGGCCTCCCCGCCCTGGTGCCGGCTCCATCAGGCTCCCAGCTGGGACTCATGGGCCACGGCCTGCCCCTCTGTCTGCAGCTTTTCCTGGACGACTCCAAAATGAAGAACTTCATCACCTGCTTCAAAGGTACTGCTGCGCCCTCCTCCCCGCCTTACTTCTCCCTTCGGGAAAGGCCCTGGCGACCTCCACTCCCCGCCCTGCCCGCGGCCGCCCACAGCAGGGGACTGGGCATCCTGCGCTCAAGAGCCCCGCTGTCTAGGGTGAGGCCAGGGCGGGCCTCCGACAGCCGGCGCCAGATCTTGGCGTGGCCCAGGGCGAGCCGCCTGCCTGGGGAAGCAGGGCCCGGGGCCTCAGGCGCCCGGCATGGTGAGCAGCCGCGCCCTTCGCCCCCCAGACCGGCAGTTCCTGGTCACCTTCTTCTCCCGCTTGAGACCCAACCGTAGCGGACGCTACGAGGCCTCCTTCCCCTTCCTCTCGCCCTGCGGAAGGGAGCGCAACTTCCTGCGCTGCGAGGACCGGCCCGTGGTCTTCACGCACCTGCTGGCCGCGCGCCCCGGGCCCCCGCTCCTCTCCTACTGCGGCGGCGGGGAGGCCTTGACGGTGCCCTTCGAGCCCGCGCGCCTGCTGCCCCTGGCCGCCAACGGGCGCCTCTACCACCCGGCGCCGGAGCGCGCGGGCAGCGTGGGCCTAGTGCGCTCGGCCCTGGCCTTCGAGCTCAGCGCCTGCTTCGAGTACGCGCCTGGCGCGCCCGCGCTGCCCTCGCATGTGCGCTGGCAGGGCCGCCGCCTCGCCCTCACCATGGACCTGGCCCCGCTGCTGCTCGCCGCCCCACCGCCCTGAGCGCCTCCCCTGCCCTC